TTCATGAGTTAACGCATCTACTATAAGCCCCGAAAATCAGTGGGAAAAGGGTGAAATAAGTGCAGGGGGAGGAGTAGGGTTGATTCGAATTCCAAAGTAATCAGCCCACAGTGTACAAAATAATTAGAGATCACGCCCAATGTTGGTTAACAGTGCAGCATTATGTGCGTAATCAATTCCCCTATCTGAAGACTCCTTTAGGGATTACGATGCCTGAGGCATCTGCCGGATGAACTACATTCGGACGCCCTTGATCAGATGGACAGTGTTTCGATAAAACACGCAAATAGGACCTAGCAGCGGAGGGGGGGAGGAGGGCGCACAGTGGAAAAGTTAGCCGACTCACCAAAGAGTGACCACTTCGTTGGAGTACGTTTTGATGGGAATAGACTTGGCGCGAGCCAGACCAAAATCTGCCAACTTCAAGTCGCCACGCTCGTTGATGAGGAGGTTCTGCGGTTTGAGATCGCGGTGTAGAATTCGTCTTTGGTGACAAAAGGCCAAGCCACGCAGAAGTTGGTAGAGGAACAGTCTCACGTTGTCTGGATGCATGAAACCCTGACAGTCATGAAGGTACTGCTTCAGATCACGTTGCTGAAAGGCGCCAAAAAAGAAATAAACCATTAGATAGCACTAGGAACAATTCCGTCTGCGTTGCACGGGCAAATCCATCCGTTGCAGAGATAAATACAAGTCAAGGAAACTAGTAGTAGAGGCTACCAGAGGAGAAGGAGGAGTCGCATTGTTGGCACACATGCATCAGGGGATGAAGACAGACGCCAAGGCGCCGGCCGCCGGACTACATTATCAAAGAAACCTGAGCTTTCGGAATCGTGAAACGGAGAAAAAAGCAACAGCGGTGGGTGAGCGGAATTCCAACTACTGGCCGCGGGCTGCTTAGCCGTCACTTACGTATCTCGCGCTGATATCTCACTGCCACATGGTGCGCGACCCAATTTTCGGCCTAGAAACGTCGCCCCGGTTTCGTTGTCTGTGCGGCACAGATTGCGTACAGGTCTCTACCGATAACACGTCTGCATCTGTCTACTTTTCAGGCAGATTGACAGATTGGCTGTTGCCTCTCAAGACATCAGAGCGAGCCTGTATTTCTTCATACATACAGGAAATAGAAACCATATCTCTTACCACAGTTAACCCAAAACTCTGACTGCGATATGTAAATGACAATTTTGTTATCTTCAAGAAAAATCACGTGAATTTGCTCCATACCACTGTTAACTCTGTATTTCCAGGAATCAAGTTTACTTTCGAAGCAGAGGTTGATAGACAACCCTCATTCCTGTATGTGCTTGTACGTCGAAGAACCGATGGATCACCTCATACATCAGCTTATCGCAAAGAAGCATACTCAGAGGTCATCGTACGTTTTGAGAGTAACCACCCTGTCTCTCACAAACAGGGCCGTCATAGGTCTTATGAAGTGAGGTATATAAGCATATCAAGTGGGCGTTTGACCCTCACTGTTGTGGTTAGGCCTATGACGTACTGATGGTCGGTAACGACCGTGAAACAGCTGTCTGCGTCTGGCCTGTTGCACTCTTAGCGAGCTGCCTATGTATTATCTATATATATATATATATATATATATATTGAATTGGAAGGCAGGAATTCCAAGACACGTTCATTGGGAAAAAATACAAAACTTTATTAGATAAATTCCCGACACTGGTTTCCCAGGTCGTTGCCAGACTTGAGCAAATGTGCAACAAACATTTCAACCGTGCTGAAAACTCAATATTAATTTAGTGTTTGCTCCAGTAAGCGGCCGCCGTGTGCGTCACGCTCGAAAAAGAAGTTGACAGTAAACTTCCATCTCTGGATGCCCTCGTACAGCGTAAGACTGACGGAACATTACACACTTCCGTTTACTGCAAAGAAACATAAGAGGAAGCAATTTTACACTATGAGAGCAGCAGCCCAAACTCTCACAAGCGGAACACTGTTAAACGCCTGCTGCATCGAGCAAAAAACATTGCTCTGATTATAACAACTACCAAGTCAATCTAAATTACCTGTTTGAACTATTTTCTCAGAACGGTTACCCTAGAGACTTCGTTCGTCGATGCATGAAACAGCAACAGATAAAAACAAAGGAACTAGATAGTTTCAATCAAGCGCCCAAAGCAAATAATTGGGGAATCCTTCCTTACATCAGAAATGTGTTTGAACTTATTGAAAGGCACTTGAGGAAACACCAAATAAAGGTGGCGCACAAGTCGACGACTACTTTACGCACTCAGCTTGTACACCAGAAAGATAGGGTTGGCTATCTTGACAAGAAAGAAGTCGTCTATAAAATCCCATGCGATGCCTGTGATGGCGTATATTGTGGCCAAGCGGGAAAGTCTGCCTCTACACGCATCCGTGAACATCAAATGGTAGTTAAAAGGCAAGACCACCTATCTCAAATAACCATGCAAACCCTTGATACTGGGCGCACCTTCGCATGGGGCAAAACTCGCATCGTCGGAATTTGCACCTCTAAAAAAGGCCGAGAGTTCCTTGAAGCCATGCACGCATCAATCGGCACATTTACTTAGATGCCATGTGCCAAAATCTCTGGGAAAAGTGAAAGACGGGAGAGCCAATCAATGCGGAATGGCGCACAGTGGCCGCCTACTGTCGCAAACACCAAATGAGTATTGATTTTTACAGCACGTTGAAAATGTTAATTGATTTTTTTGCTCATTTACTCGAGCCTAATAATGCCCCGGGGGAACCAATGTCGAAAATTTACCTAGTGAAGGTTTTTAAATTTTCCCCAAAGAACGTGTTTGCCCTCACAAAGTATATATACATACGGTGAAAGGAGTGTCGACAAAGACGAGGGAGAGTGGGGTAGTCGTTTACAGTTTATCATTCGTCGCCAGCCAGCCCTACACAAAGCCAGGTTTTGTCGCAACTGAATCTTAAACCCGCATGCATCGGTCATTGAGCATCCTTAAGTCTAACGCTCTACCAATTGAGCAAGGGGTCGTTGTCCAGCCAGTTGTGATCGGGAATACTAACTTTTGCGAGCTATTGAAATTCGTTTTACGGCGGTCGTATTCTAGCTTGTGACTTTTGCATGGCCAAGCAGTGCGCAATACTCGGTTTTAGTCCTCCGAGTTAGATGCCAGGTTGGTTTTGTGGCGGAGCATAGTTTCTGACAGCGGATACTGTCCTTTCTCTTCAAAAGGTCAGACGATCAATAGGTTTCGCCAACAGATGCACCCTGCCGCTACGTGACAAAGGTATGTTGCTATGGGATGCCAACGTACGCCAAGCATCTGCAGACTAAAAATTCTTCGAGAAAACAACCGTGACACAGTACGCGAGTCGTTAAAATGTTTTTTTTCCACACGGCTCAAGTGTTTCTTGACGCAAATGTATGCTAGAATTGATCAGGTTTTTCCGGCTGTTTTCACTTGGAAGGCAAGAGGAATCAGTGAATGTTAAAAAAAAACTATCTTTATAAACATTTGTCTACTGAAAGATAGGCAGCCCTAGATACCGGACACGCCTTTGCGTGGGACAAACGCAATGTCCGCGTCTGCTCTCCGATGAGAGGCCGAGAATCCTTTCCGGCCATGCAGTCGGATGAGTCATGCATCAGTCGGCATACTGAAGTGGATGCTGCGTGCGAAAATCCCCCCCGGAGTCGGCATTCAATCCAAACAGAAGGATGACATACGGTAGCCACTAATTACTGGCTATCTATATTCAGTAGTCTAGAGGCCATGTAGTCGGGTGAGTCACGCATCTGTCGACATATTGAGTTAGATGCAGTGTACAAAAATCTCAGGGCAAATGGACGGTACGGCAGTTACTCAAAAAACGGACGAAAGCGACCGCTTTTTGGCACAAACGCCAGACATTTATTGATTTTTAATAACGTTTAAATAGTTAACTGTTTTGCACGTAAACGACGGCGACTCGGTGAACTGACGTATAAAAATCTACGGAACAAAATGTTTAACCTTTCTCAAAGAATTTATCTAACTTAAACACTTAGCTAAGTGAAAAAAATCAATTCGGTGAGAATACATCTGCTTTAGATAAATTCCCTTCAGGCCTGTGCATTTAGATTGCTATCGAAACAACTAACAAAATGATGCAGACCGATAAAAATCATGCTGTGTCTAGGGTTTGGGATAGAGTGAAAAACAAAATTACAGTCAGCGTTGGGGGAGGGGTGGCGGGCCCCGGTAAAGGGAATTATGTGCGGATGGCTGGTTTGGTAGCTTTGGGACATGGCAACTGTGGGGGCTGCACGCTCTCCTGTGCGCATAGGACTGGTTTCGACCGCCTCTGTCGTGGCCCACAGACGCTGTCCAAGTGGTTTAGGATAGTGTGATGCAACCTTGTAAACCGCTCGGAGGGTCTCCTTAGCATCTACACGATGATCTATGGCTACCATGTGCGAGAGGACACAGCTGTTGGCATTACTTATTCAACTCTCTCCTAACCATACTGGATGATGCTTTCCTATTCTTTTGGACAAACACCCACTCATAAGACCAATATATTCTGCTCCAGATGTGCAGGTGAAGGTGTAAATACACACAGAGGTGGGCTGAGTTGGCAGTTTGTCCTTGCCCTCTCCGTATAAAATGGGATCAGTAGAGAATAGCTCACAGACGTCAGTTGCTGGAAACGTGTGCGATACAGCTTGGTTTAAACGCCTCCATAAGAGCTCACTCGGGGTGTCACTTGAAACGGGACTCCGATGAAAAGCCGTTTCTTTTCTGCCGTCAGCATCGGGAGCTCTCTTGGTCTTTCGCGCGTGTTCTTACCAATGAATCGATCAGGATACCCGTTTTGGTGAAAGAGACTTTCGACAACCTCAGCCGAGCAGATCCTTCTCACCCTTTGTGTCGACCAGCGCACTAAATTACGCTCCGAAGTTAGCGATACGAAACTCCCCAAATTAGTGTGGTGTCCCGATCATGCGCTCTTACGATAGACACTACGTCGAATACTGCCGTCAGGTCTTCTACTCAGAAGAAGCAGAAGAAGAAGAAGAAGGAGGAGGAGGAGGAGGAGGAGGAGGAGGAGGAGGAGGAGGAAAGGGGACGATGCGGACTGCTCTTTTTCCGGCGTAAATTAAATGCCAGGTGTGCCAGATTGATATTGTCTGGTAGAACAGTAGTGTCGTTCTGTTGAGGTGGGATTACGAACATATCATTCACGTAGCGTCCATAGTATCTCGGACCGTTGATCTGACGATGAAGTTGGAAAGCCTCTAGCTCGCCCATGAATATATTCGCCGAAGGCGGACCAAGGGACGAGCCAATAGTCACTCTGTCCATCTATCTATACAGATTTTGTCAGATAGGAACTGCACGTTGATGGTATATGTTAATAACAATTCCTTGAGGGCATTCACCAGCATTCCTATGTCCTGCTGAAGGGAGTCAGTGAATTCGCGGAGGTAGCTGACGGTTTCAGTGACCAGTACATTCATAAAAAAGAGACGAGACATCTAGCGAAAAAATAATCATTCCGTTTAGGTAGAGGCCTTCCACGCTGTTAAAGAATCCCAGTAGCTATTTGGCGCCAGCTGATACTGTAGGAGTTTAAGTTTCTCCGTTAGTCATTGGGCTATCGCATGGTTCGGCGAGTTCCTCATATTTAGAATTGAATGAACCGGTGTGCTATGCTTGTGAGTCTTCGGCAAGCCGTGCCGACGGCGTCGAAGACACCCAACGTCCTGCGCGCCAATGACACCATCGCTTGTAGCCCATTTAGTCAGTCAGTTGTGCTTCAACCCCCTGTCTTTACGCTCCTTACCCTTTCTGACTTTTTAGTTCTTCTTGGTCCGACAGAATTGACTGTATTTGTACAATGCAGTCTTTCCTGTTCATCAAAACAACGCCAGTTCCCTTACCTGACGTCGTCATTAGAATATTTT